AGAACGTCGAATCTGAATCACTTAAAAAAAACACGGGGGTGCTTAACTTTTTTCCAGGTGTATATATGGAATGCACTATATAACCTTGAAAAGCATGTGATTTGAATTTTTTCCCCTCCATTATTAAAAGGTAATTTCTTTTCAAAATTCCCATAGTTTACCAGTTACAAGTTTCAGATAAGAAATGGAATATGCATTTATTTGGTTTTAGTGTGTATCTAAAAATAAACATGGTACTGTGAGAATTGTTTATCTATAGGCATGGCAGTGAGAGAGTTATTTAGAAGCTATAATACTATAGACCCCAAGGCTGGTGGTAAGATGATGGTCATAAAATATGTACATTGTATTACAGTGTACACTAACATTGTGAATACCATCAACAAAAATACAGTAATTTTCTTAAAAGCTTGTATATTTTCATGGCTTTTATCTGTAAACACAAAAATAGTAGCTAGTATTAAATCCAGTTTTATGTATATATATTTAGCTTTTGTTTCAAATGTGTTTTTCTTTTTTATATCTCTTTTTTTTTTGTGAACTTCCACTGTTGAATTGTGACTAAAAACATCTAAGTACATGTATTTGAATTCATTTAAGATAGTATCAGCTTACTGAGCTCTTATGAATGTTATTCATGAAGCACTAAATAATTTTGGAAAGATCCTTTGTGCACAGAATTTATAATACTAGGACAAACTAAAATATTTTAGTTAAAAACTTGCTATGACCTTTGACTTTTCAACAAATTGTTACTGCTTATGCGGTTTACTTGTAAGAATGTTGCTTTCCACTAATTTACTTGATGAATGAGTAAGTAATAAAAATTGGTCTATTTTATAATATTATAGACTGACAAATGTCAAGATGATCACTAATGAACATTATTCTTTTCAATTGCAATTATTAAAAAAAATATTTACAGTTATTAATTAACTTGATTATTTATGTGAAAGTAATAAAAATGATAAACTTATTTTATCTTTTAGTAGTATTCTGGTCAGTTCATCTAAAGTTACTCTTTGATGCATTTCAATGTAACATCTCATTCTTAATGGTTCTTTTGTTCTTATGACTTGTTCAAGGTTATGGATATGGAAACACTGTTAACCGAGATATGATTAACCCATCAAGTCCAATGGGCTATTGTCCACATTGCTGTCAGCCTCTTTATCACATTGTTGCTCATAGTACTCACCTTCCCAGTACTTCACCACCACTAGTTTCAATGTTTTCTCATCATGCTGTAAGTGTTTTCATACACTGGTTATTTTGACAACAATTTTCTTTTATTAGCAGTCTGTTTAATTCAGCAATAAAAATAAAATATTTCCTCAGTGCTAGTAGAAAGTCTATAGAGAAATATCTAGCAGTAACTCTTTATTGATAGCTGCATTTTTAAAGTTTTTGTTAATTTTTTATTCTGATAAATTACCATGTATTTTTTTTAATACATAGTTCTCTAAAGTGCATGTCATTGACAGATTACATTTATTTGTGAGCTGTATTGAATTATTTACATTCCAAATTAGTGTTTAGGGAATGTGAGAAAATACTTGCAATTTCTTAGTGTAGGAGGATAGATTTTCTCAAAAGTCTTCTTGACATAAGTGAAACTTCCTTGCACTGAGCTTTTAAGTTAACCCCTTCCTACCTGGCAACAGTATATTGCCATTTCTGCATTTAACTTTATAACCACTTAACATTTTGGGAACTAAGTTACATTTATTTGGGGAAATTTGCAACTTGTAATAAAATTCATTATGGATATAACTATATACTATGCTGTTATGCAATAAGCCCACAAACATTGATCTGAAAGTCAGGTTTCAAACTTGTTTATTAACAATATTAAAGTCACAGGTCTGATGATGTCATATGCTAGCCAAATGTGTTTTAATAAATTTGAAATAAAACACTGTACACAACCTACCAGTAAATAAATAGACATCCACTCTGGAAAGAATGCTGTTTTATTAAAGAAACAAAGGGAACAAGATTACTTATTATGTAGTGGATCTGCCATTTATAATATTTAAAGGATAAACATGATTGACATTGTATTTAAAATATCTGACATCTGGGCTCGTAGGATTGCACCTCACTCCTTGCAAAGAATTTAGGTAAGGGTATCCCTAGAATTTAGTTGTTTAGGATACTTTTACAGGGTACTTTCAAGAATGGACCACATATGCTCAATAGAGTTTATATCTGGCCACTGAAGCCTGTTTGTGAGAGTGTAGTAATGCTTTTACCTTCTAGCCATCATTTTGTGATTGGGATCAATGAACAGGGATTTAAAAGGCCTCACTCAAACACTTTGAGTCATCCCTTCACATACCCCTAACATCCCAAATGACACCAATACCATAACAGAAACATTGACATATTTTGTTGTGGTTTACACACAGTTCATAAGAAGGTCCTGGAAGCAAGCTCAAATGCATTCGTTATCTGAGAATTACATATTTCGATTTGTTGGAAAACATTATAGTGTCCAAAATAAAGCAACATCATTTGCTAACTTCAGTATTACTTGGAGTGTGTAGTGGCTTCTGTTTAGCTACTCTGCCATTATAACCTATGTTGAAGATGACTTATGATGGTATTGGGGCAAATTTGCATTTGTCCTGTAACAGTTGAAGCTCTTTAACGAAGTTTATTGTCCACAGTTCTCCATATAGCATGAAGAGTCCAATCAATCTGTTGGTTTTAGGGGTCTGGTTCATTGCTGTTTTCTGACATGACTGGAACTGCATTGTCAATGTATTCACTTTGGACAATTGTATTTTAAGTGACCAGATGATTTCTCACTGTCTTTGCTTGCCCATTCATAGTTCAACTAAGTGATCCTATGAAAATATGGTTAATTTTTGCAATTCTTTTGTTCTGGCCTAGCTATATGTATTATGTGTTTTTTACCAAGCTATGCCTTTATTTATCTGTTGGGTTTAGTTGCAGATGATATCTTTGTTAAAATCTATATAAATACTACATATTAAGTATGTTAGTATATATTATTTATAAAATACATTTTATACATTTTAGAATTTTGTACAGCTTGGTCAAAAATACCATCCTCTAATCTCTTGCCAGGAAGAAGTTTACCCTTGTAATCCATCAAAGCAACTGTCAAAATTATTATTTCCACAAAATAAACAAACAAGTATGGGAACCACTAAGATTAATTTATTAACTTTATGTAGCTTACAAAAGAAATAAAAATAAAACATGGTAGGTTTCAGAATTAGCAAAAGGTTTTGAAATTTAAAATTCATATTAGGAAAAAAAGGGATATCTATAACATTAAGATTGTGAAGAAGAAAATATCAGCTTTCACATGATAAATTTATGATCTTCTTAGCTTTTGAAGTTTGAAAATTGTAAAACACAAAGTGCATTTAGTTGAATTTAACAACTTTTGACACCACGAATTTAAAAAATTTAAGGTTTTCAAACTATTTGAATTGCAAAGAATTGCCATACATGTACAAAGATCACAGATTTGCATCTGTGTTCTGTAAGCTGACAAGTTTACTGAGGCAGGCACGAATTTTAGATATTTTCATCCCCTAAACAAAAATTACAGTGGGATGAAACCAAAAACTGAAATTAGGATTGACAGTTTGGTTTTAGTTATTACTTTATCCAAAAACAAAAGTGAATGAATTTTATATCAAAATAAGATTAGAAATCTGAAAAATGTCAATTATAGTTTTAGAGGGTGTATCTCAGAGAATGTTTTATAATATAATGTTTTGTGCCCCCAGAAAAAACAAAACAAAAGATATACCAAGCTGGAAGATTAATGCTTGATATTATAGGCTTTATAAAAACAAATATGAGAAGTTGAACTAAAGTGGTCTTGTTGTATACTTGTATATATATATGTCTACGCATACATACATATATGATTTTACCAAATCATATAATTACTTTGAGAAAATACTAGCGTGAATCATGTTATTTTGTTTCAGATGTGAAAGTCAATGTTTTGAAAACATCTTTAAAAACCTATTATTTTTGATTGATGTCTTAGTATTATAGCATACAGGAAAATTTTTCATGATAAAGTATTGAAAAAAATAAGTATTTTATACATCAGTGTGATGTTTTCTGTGCTTGTGGCTTGATATTACATTTAATTTTTTGTTTATTTTATTTAGCGTATACCAGTTGTTCCAGCTAAAGCTCACACAAATAGCTCCCAAGAAAAATTTATCAAACCAGCACCTCCAACAAATTATCCATGCCATCCAGTTGTTATTTCACAGCCAGGATTAACTTCTGGAGACAAAAGCTAAATCAAGAACCACAGGACATAGTTTGGGTTCAATATAACATGCTATAACATATAAAACTACCAATTTTTAAAAGGAAATATTATTTAGTCAATATATAACAAGATGAAAAAAGAGAAATACATGTTAATATCATTAATAAAATAATCTCTGTTTTTAAAGTTGAGAAATAGATATTTTTTCGGCTTTTTGGTGTGATTCCAATTCAACACGAGCCTTGCTTGAGTCTTTCAAAATATTTGTAAATTCCAGCCATTGGGATGTATTTTGTTAATTTTTTTGTAAATAGGCATTATTTTTCAGTTTGTTTTCATAATTAAGCACTGGTAACTTGCTTGTTAATTTGTGGTGCCTTTGTAAAATTCATGTGTATGCATAGTAGGGTTTTTTATTGTGTATACTTGGAGACATAATTTTCTTCACTTGGCTGATAAGACTATTTCAGTTGTTGAACAGTTGACTTCATTTAATATAAATGTAGCCAAATAAATATTAGTTGAGGTGTATTTTACTTCATTTGAAATTGTTTTAAGGACTTTTAATTGATAATGGCTGAATGGAGTATTTACTGTTATGCATATGAAGTGGTACATATAAAAAGAAAACAAAAGTAGTTTTAATTTTGTTAAGGAACTTAAAAGACAAATATCACGTATTTCTGATTAATAAACTATTAAAACTAACCCTTTCTATTTCTTAAACTGTGTACTGATTTTTTTGAATTACAGATTTTTAAAATTTGCCAGTTAATAGTGAGAGTAATTTGACATTTGGAAAGCTCATGAACCATCATCACTGCAATAACTTAACATCAAAAATTTATGATATAGTAAAATGTGTAAAAGTTTGCAACAGAAACTGAAAGTTGTTTTTCAAACATTTTACAAAATGTAACACATATGGCACATTGTATTGAAGGTCATTATAAGTTCCTCCAATAATTTTTTGTAAATGAGTATAATACTTTATATAAATGCATTCTGTAAGTCAAAGTTGCTCCTGGTACTTGAAAAATGAATCTAAAGTTTATCGCAGGGCTCATCACTTTGCTCAATTCGGCATAAATAATACAATAATTTTGTACTTAATAGTAGATTAATGGGTTGATAAAAAATGTAGAGAAACTTGTGTTTGTTTGAGACTTAATGATTAATGAAAAATATATTTAAAATTCAGTTGTTCTATATGTTTTAAAAGCTCTTTTTATAGTTTTTTACTTTGGACAAATAAAATGAAACTTAAACACATTTAACTTAACCTATTTGAGCTTCATCTTTCTTGTGTTAAGAAAGTAAATTAACTATATGTTAAGCATCTTAACAGATTTGATAATCTATTTATTATTCACAGTATAGAGTTGTTCTGAATAATATATATGGTTAGTAGAAAATCACAGTTTGGAAATCAATTTCCTCTGAAATCAGGCAAATACATATTTGTTATGATAAAGAGCAGATGAAGATACTTGACATCTCTTTTTATACAAGACAATGGTTGTAATTTCACAAGCTGTACAAGGCAGCACTTTTGTATGTGTGTGGGAGTCATGTTGAAAATATCAAATTCCATTTTCAGTGACTTGGGTATTTTGCATAATAAAAGAAAATTAAAATTTTATTCTACAAACTGATTTTTGTTATACAGAACATTTATGGTTTTGATAAACATATCTGGAATTCGCTTAATTTAAAACAAAGCAAAGTAATCAAGAACCTATACTTAAGCTAGTGTTTTTAATTGAGAATTAATGTGTTGATTAGCCAAACACTGTAAAGTCATATTTGGTTTTTCTTTCACAATCTGTTCTTCTGTTGAGGGCTTGATGATTTGAGCAACACTGATTCAAAAGCTGTCAGATTAATACAGAAAGACTCAGTGAAATTAAATACAATGTGTTAACAATATGAACGTTCTTTCAAGTATGAAATCTTACTAAAAATAAACATTTTTCAGGATTGTTATTATTGTGTCACGTTGTGATACATATATAAAGATTCAATGTTTCTAAGTTCACAGGCTCTACAAATCAGCACTTTTGTGTATCACAGCAAATATCATACACTAAATATTAGGTTATTTTTTACTGACTTAAGTGGTTTAGAAAATACATACACACATACAAAATTTTGTTATTGTTTATTCTGTAAATTGCATAAAGGTTCTACATAACAAAACGATGATGTACAAAGATAGCAAATAATTTGAGAAGGAGAATCTGGTACCTATTTTTTAAACATATCACTTAAAGATGAATTAAACATATTACTTAATTCATAACCATAAAATAATTATTCAAAGAGACTGTTCACAGTAATCAAAGCAGCTTGCATGTTTTCTGAACATAAAGCGTAAGATTCATTTTAACATATTTTGAAGTAAGAAATTATGTGATGTAAACGAAGCTAAGTCACTATTGCAAATATATAGCATAAAAATGTAGTCTTAAATTTTGTTCAGATACTTTTTATTTTACATGAAACTATTATTTTATCTTGTTAAAGATATTTAGCAATTGTTTTACATGTTTGATTACTAAGTTTAGTTTATTGGTGTTCTTTATAACAAAGCAATAAAATTGTGTAGGCTTTTTTCAGTTGTAGAAATTCACTTGTATTCAAAAATTAGAGCATGATAATCAAGCTTTATGGGCAACGGAATGCATATAACAAAATACATGCTTTAAATCGGTATGACTTTGTAAGGAATAGCATCAATACCCGTTTCATTCTCTAGCTGCTTGAGGTATGCAGCTCCTGAACAGATGTGTCGTGGAAGGCAGCTTGTGTAAACGTGAAGTGTGTCACTTTCCCAGACGGCGATTCTTCTTCATTACGTTGCTACTGTTCCTTAGAGTACGTGGATGGTTTTTGTCACTGATTTTTGTATTAGTGTATTCTAACCCATTACAGGACGCCAATCTTTTCTCACCACCGCTGGGGTACGACTTTTTGCAAGTATCTCTTTTGGATGGCCCTAGGTTCACAAACTGATCCATACTCCTTTATTTTCGAATGCCATTAAGTACAAGGGTTCTCATCTTGAAAATTCTAATCCCGGATCTGGACTCATCTGTCACGTTCGATGACGAGGAATCCACTTTGAGACTCATACTGGTTGGAGATGGCTTGAATGGGTGGGTACCTGATGATGACAAAACCTTGTCGAAACGTTGTACATTTGCTGCTGTGTTAAATTTATTTTAAAGTTTTTCTTCATTGCCCATTCAAGCCGTCTCCAACCATTATTATCCATCTGTCACGTGTTGTTCCACTGCGACGCTGTATTGGCTGTGGTTGTGACGTGAGTTGTTAATTTGCTTAGTAAGATAGTTTTAGTATAATGTACTCAAACCTTTGTATAAGCATACTGTTGCGTCAGCGAGGTCACGTGACTAGTATCACGCCACTTCTTTCTCGAACCTTCCTAGATTGGGGGTAGGCTGGTATATATAAGATGGTGACAACGTGACGGGACAATGTGTAGGTAGTTGATCTGCAGTCAGAGAGTATTGTTGAAGTTAACTTTCGTTATAGCGTTTGTTTTAGCGCGAATGTTGAAATTAAGTGTATCGTAAAGTTATATTCAGAAAGAATAAACCAGTTTTATTAAGTAAGGACTTGTGTCGCTAAAGTTTCGTCGGAACGAAGTTACGGAAAATTAATTAACAAACGGAGACGTAACACATTGGTGTCAGAGAATGGGACAAAAACGAGAAGCGGCAAATCAAACTACAGCCTAGCAGACTTAATGGCAGCAATACAAGGACAGCAAAAGAAACAAGAAGAACGAGAAGAGAAATTACAACAGTTGTTAGAGGAAAAAGAAAGAAAAGAAACAAGAAGAACGAGAAGAGAAATTACAATAGTTGTTAGAGGAAAAAGAAAAGAAACAAGAAGAATGAGAGAACAAACAAGAAAAGAAAC